CCAACAGGTTGAGCCGGGACGCCTCGCCGCCGCGCCCCGCCACCGCCGCCGCCGCCGCCGAGGGCCCCCCGGCGGCCGCCGCCGGAGCCGCCGCTTTCTCCACAGCCACCTCCATTGTCCTGGCCCGCGCCGCCGCCCCCCGCGACCTCCGCCGCCGCCGCCTCCTCCTCAGAGGCCGCGCAGCGGACGAGCAAGCGAGGAGCAAAGCAGAGCCGCGCGGAAGAAGCCTCCTGTGGCCCGGGGACCCGCCTCCCGGGTGGCGCGGCCGGAAGCAGGGACTCTGTCAGCGGCGACAGTTCCCGCACCGCGCAGGACGCGCCCGGGCCGCTTCGCCAACCGCCGCGGCGCTCGCTGAATCCGCCCTGCGCGCGCTCGCCTCCCCGCCTTTCCCGCAGGCCCCGCCCCATAATCCCCGCCCCCACCCTCCCTCGCCCAGCAACCGCTGCGGCGGCCGGGAGCGCACCGCCCAATAGCCGCGGCGCCTGTCCGGGGGCGGGGCGTCCCGAAGTCCGTGAGGACCGGACGGCCCCGGCGGGAGGCGGGAAGGAAGGAGGTGCCGGCTCAGCCCCGCCTCTCCGGCCGCCTAGAACCGCGGCCTCTGATTGGGCCTTTGTGTGTGTTGCGGTCTTCTGAGAAGATAAAGAATTCATTTGTTAACGACCCGACACCTAATTGGGCCGCTAGGCATAGCCCCTCCCATGGGGCGGGGCTCCACCTTGCTACTCAACGCCGTTAATTAACTGTTCTAAAAACTCTGGTTTTTCTATTACAGACCGGGTCCTGTCAGAGCAGAAAATTTGGTGGGTGTGTCCATGGGGGACCGGGTGGAGCAATCAGGGACTTTTTGTGTGAGAGATGCTATGGAGACCTGAATGCATTCATTTTCTTGCTGAATGAGTGAATGTGAAGAATAAGGAGGAAAGACTCTTGCAAGTTGGAAATTTTTAAAGAATTTCCCCAATGAACACAGGCTGGCCTTGAACTCATTATGTAGCTCAGGCTGTCATCGAAATTAACTTTTAAATTATTTTTTCCCTCCAAGTCATTAAACCCAAGAGGTGCCAAGCTACATTCCAAGACCCCTTTAAAAAAGATTTTTTTTTAAAAAAAGTTTCTACCTCGGTACCCCCGCCCCCCCCAAAAAAGTTTTGGGCCGGGGATTTAACTCAGTGGTTTCGCCACCTGCTGTGCAAGCACAAGGACCCGAGTTCGATCCCTGGTACCAAAAAAAAAAAAAGTTTTTAATTTTCCCAGGCTGGCCTCGAACCTGCCATCCTGCCTCAGCCTCCACAGTACCTAGGATTACAGACAAGTGCAGTCTAGCTCAGTTGAAATTAATTTTTTTTTTTTTTGGTACTGGGGATTGAACTCGGGACCTTGTGCTTGTGAGGCAGGCGCCAGAAGCACTGAGCTAAACCCCCGGCCCCTGAAATTAATTTTTAAAGGAAGCTTTTTTTTTTAATGGATAAAAGTAGTTGATTGTTCCAAGGAATTAATATATAAAGGTCTGCAAGTGAAGCCAGGTGTGGTGTGGCGGTACAAGGCTGTATAGTGCCAGCACTCTGGAGATTGAGGCAGAAGGATCTTTGCTAGCTTGGGCCACATAAGTAGTTTAAGGCCAGCCTGAACTACACAGAAAGACCCTGTCTCAAAAACAAAAAAAACAAAACAAAAACTAGCAAACAAAAAAGAAAAATAAACCTGTCTATTTTTGTTCTGGTGGCATTTGCTTGTAATCCCAGCACTCTGGGAAAGCAGAAGGATTGAAGACTCAAACCCGGCCTGGGCAGTTTAGTGATTTAGCAAGACCTTGTCACAAAATAAAAGAAAAAAAAAGAATAAAAAAGAAGGGCTAGAGATGTTCCTCAGTGCAAAGGTCCCTGGTTTAATTCCTGTGATCAAAAATAAATAGATGGGGCTGGGAATTTAGCTCAGTGGCACCGCGCCTGCCTTACAAGTGCAAGGTCCTGAGTTCGATCCCCGGTACCAAAAAAGAAAGAAAGAAAATAATAGATGAAGCTGGTGATGTAACTCAGAGGTGCAGCGCCTACCTGGCAAGCTTGAGGGCCTAAGTTCAATTCCTGGTACCAAAAAAGAAGGAAAAAAAAATGTATGGAGAGAGAGAGAGAGAGAGAGAGAGAGAGAGAGAGAGAGAGAGAGACTGAGAGCAATGAATCTCAATACTGATGTCCTAACAGTTGCTAAATTCAGTGTTCTTTTCCACTGCTTTCTTCCCTTTACACTGATTACAGAAATTACACATATTTTCAATACAAAAGTGGGCAAGCTTTACAGGAACTGGAAGAACAGAAAAGGGGTCTGCAAGGGGCCGAGGATTTAGCTCAGTGGTTCTGCCACCTGCCTCGCAAGCGCAAGGTCCCAAGTTTGATCCCCAGTACCAAAAAAAAAAGGTGAGGGGTGGTCTACACATGAGTAAGAAAACATATGTGCCATTGTTTTAATTACATGTGAGATGCTAGCAGAAGGTAAAAGGGAGTGGAGAGGGTTCTGAAAGGCTTCCTAACACTGAGATAATCCTGGAAGAATAAATAGAATGGCACCCGGGGGAGGGCCAACGCCAGGCAGCCTTACTTGAGATCTTAACTTTCTTCTCCTGCCAGGAGGCCCAGGACCTCCTGTGTCCATTTAACCTCTGGGGGGCTGGAGACTGAATTACATGGGTGCTGCACCCTACATGATTGACCGTCAATAAAAAACCTGGACATGGCCAGGGGTGGTGGCACCTGCCTGTGGTTCCAGCACTCAGGGGACTGCAAGATCATGAATTCAAGGCCATCCTGAACTACAGAGAGATCTTGTTAAATAAGTAAATCTTGGACAGGGCCAGGGATTTAGCTCAGTGGTTTCGCCGCCTGCTGTGCAAGCACGAGGACCTGAGTTCAATCCCCGGTACCAAAAAAACCCCAAAACAAAACAAAAAAAATAAATCCTGGACACCAAGACTTGGAGGAATTTTCCTGGTTGTTCCCATGTCTTCTTACACATTATTACTGGTAAGAGAATAGAGTAGTATTTGTGGGGCTCCCATAGGAGGGGCAGCCAGCTGGAAGATTGCTCCTGCATAGTCCTGGACTTTGCCTCTGTGCCTTTTCTCTTTGTAGATTCTAATCTGCATCCTTTTGCTGTAATAAATGGGACCTGGGGTGACAGCAGCGTTTTCTGAACCATGTGTCCTTCCAGCAGCTCACTGAAACAGGGTGATCTTGGAGATCACAAGACCCAGGGGATGTGATCTCCTCCACAGGCTATAAGTCTTTGAGACGAGGACCCATCTCTTGTCCTCTGTATTCCTTTAGCATCTCCCAAATTTCACGGAGGTCAAAAATCTAGAATTTGCTTATAATTCCTTTTGTCTTCTCATCGTCCATGCCATTCTAAGTATTCACTTCAATCTGATCTCTCCAGGAGTAGTGTGCCCTTACGAGCGAGGCAGAAGATTCAGGACAGATAATGACAGGTGATTATTCCTTTTCCGCATTTCCTCCCCACCCCAATCTTTGTTTTTTTGTTTTGTTTTGTTTTTGGTACCAGGGATTGAACTGTGGTCCTTGTGTTTGCAAGGCAGGCGGCAGAACCACTGAGCTAAATTCCCGGCCCCCAATCTTTCTTCTTTTCTTTTCCAAGGTAAATAATGTTTTCAGAACATTATGTGTGGAGGAAAAGAAGTAACCAGAGTGACAGGATAAGCAGGGTGGGAGTAGGAACATTGTCCTGCTGTCTAAGGATGAAGGGGTAGAGTGGCTGTGGGCACGTATTGACTCCTGAGATTGGTCAGCATAGGTCAGTCCACTCATTCTACAGACATCCTCATAGCAGCTTGATTCAAGGCCCTGGAGAACTGTTCTGGGACTACGAGGGCAAAGAATCCATATATTGAAATTTTCTGTCTGCCTCACAGATGCATGTTTTATTGAGTTTATTGTGAAGGTAGGCAGGAATAAGAAGAGAAAAAAGTGACCAAAACCCCAATAGATCAAAAACCAGTAAGAGGCACAAGGGAAAAGAGCAAGAACAAGAAAGACAATATGAAGCAAATGAAAGAAAACAAGTGGAATAAAAGGAATAATGGTTGTAGATAACAAGAGGACAGGGCTGGGGATTTAACTCAGTGGCACTGCGCCTGCCTCAAAAGTGCAAGGTCCTGAGTTCCATCCCTGGTACTGCAAAAAAAAGAGGACAACAGGAAAAACAGAGCAACTGGTTGCTGGCTGGCAGGAAGCTGAGGACCAGGGCAGTCTGTAAGGAAGGGTAGAGAAATTAAGGGCCAGGGAGTGAACAATAGAAAGGACTCAAAACTAATGAAATAGTTATTCATGAGAAATTTCTAAACAAAACATCTGAGTACAAATCAGAGTACATCTGAATTGCAGAAGCAATTTCTACATTTTTTCTTTAAATGTTCCTGGACATTGAACCAGAGCCTTTACACTGAGCTACATCAAACAACCATGTCTGGCAATTTCTACTTTTCTAGAGATAGTTCACAGCCAGATATGGTGGTCCATGCTTGTAATCCCAGCACTCTGGGATGCTGAGGCAGGAGGATTGAAAGTTTTAACTCAGTCTGGGCAATTTAGTGAGTTAGATGGGGGTTGCTCAGAGCTTCATGTCCTTTCTCAGGGTCCCTTTGCTCCTCTTAGGAGCTTAGGTCCCCTTAGGACCTCTTGGCTCCTGCTTGTGTTCCTCAACCTTAAAGTTCCTGCAAACACAGTCAGCATTTTGATGGAGGAATGTGTTACACAGGCGCGATTCATTGCATCATAGGCCAGGATGAGTAAACTGCTTTCTAGCCCCTTTTCCTTCCACAGAGATGAGGGTGAGGGAGAAAGTTGCAACTCTTGTTGTGCCTCCATCTTTCTAGTGACCAGAAGTCCTCCCGTGAGTCACCTTCATTAGCATAACCAGGTGTGACTGAAGGGGGTTTAAAATGAATAACAAAAGATAGTCTGGACTCTCATCACTAAGGAAATTCCAAGGATTTTATAGAAGGTCCTGTGGCAGCAACCAGGGTCAACTTCCAAAGAATGGAACAAAAGATGCTCCGAGCACTCTATCACTTTGGAAATCACAAGGGGGGCAGAGACCAAACATACATATTTCTTCTGGTGTCGCAACCCAAGTCCAACTGGGTGGGAGTCCTCAAAGGAGGAAGACCAAGGAAAGGTCACAGAGGCACAGAAGGAACAGCCAGGGATCTGCAAGGCTGGAAGAGAGACCTCCAGGAAGAGAATCTGCCAAAATGTTGGTTGTTTTCAGCCTCCAGAAGTGTGAAACATAAATTTCTGGTCTTGTTTGTTTGTTTGTTTGCTTTTTGAGACAGGATTCGTTGTGTATTCTAGGCTGGCCTTGAACTCACAGTGAACCTCCTGCCTCAGCCACTGACTGTGGGATTACTTACAGGCATGCACCACCACACCTGGCTGGAGGGAAGGCAGTTTGAATCAAGTATCACAAAAGTTGAGCATTCACTTCCACTGAGAGTACTGTTACAAAGCCACACCTAGCTTTGAGGTAAATTGGAAAATGTCCTCCTTAGCAGTGTAGTCCCTGTGCCCTTCTAAAACTCAGCAGGAAGAACAATTCTATTACCAGAAGGCCAAGGTAAAATTGGATGGGGACAATAGGGGCAGAAGCTAGGATTGCA